GTTTGAGTAGCACTCCGTTCCCTTTTCGGCAAGCCTATGAGACACACACGCACACACACACACGCACACACACACACATACACACCCACACTGGTGATTTATGTGTTGCCCGCTATTTGTCTAACTCTCAGGCGTGTGCAGTTAAAGGATTTTGTCGAGCAAATAACTTTACATATGCGTCTGCGGACGTGGCTCTATCTGCGTGCGCTCCTTGTTTATTTTTCTATGTGCTGCTTTTGTTTTTCTTTGTCGTAGTAGTTGTTGTTGTTGTTGTTTTCACGTTTGCTTTTCTGCCGCCGCCATCTTCGTCTGTCGAAAGCAAAAGTAAGCTAATCTTATTGTTTTCACAACAGCGCCGCGAAATGCGCTCCTTGTTGATCCTTTGAGTTATGCGCATTGTTGTTGGTTGCTCCACTCTGTTCATGCTGTTGTGCTCTGTTTGCTTACACTCATGTTGCCGCTAAAGCTTTTTGCCATTTTGATTGGTGACGTGTTGAAAATGGATTTAAATTACATTGTTTTACACACACACACACACACATAAGCACATGGACGGGCGTACGTGCGGATATTTGTGCTCAGCTTAGCAGGAACAACAACAGCAGCAAGAGCAGCATCGAGAAGAACAACAACGTTATGCCAAATGCATGACTTTTCAAGTCGTGCGTCAATATTTTCATTGTATAGATTAGTTTTTCGTTTGGGCGCTGCTCTGCTCCCCTCAAAATATGCAACATTTTTTGCAAATCGCTCTCCCTTTTGTGCGTCTGTTCACTTAGTTTTAGACTTTATTCACGTATTTATTTATGCAAACTTTCCGGGACACCTTCTAAAGCAAAGCTTCTTGTTGTACCTTTTTTGTGAGCTGATGGCTGGCTCTCTTAGCCGAGCATTAAATCTGTTGGCATAAATAGCACAAATATTGCACTCTTACTTCAAAATCCAGGCCACAAAAAGTGCACAGAACCTAGACTACTTAGAAAAACACAGAATGCCAAGTTTGTTGGCTTGACCATAAAAACCACGCAAGTTGGCAAACAAACAGCAAAACAGACAAACATTCGAGTTGTCTGCCACTCAACTCAACGCCACAACTTACACAAAGAGCGCTACAGAAAAATATGCGAGCAGGGGGAGTAGAATAGGAGGAGAAGAGGAGGAGGAGCAGCTTCCATGAGCAACCGCAAGAAACCACGGCAAAGTAATACATAATCCGCAGCTTAGCTTTAAAACTTAACTACACAAGTTCATAACTTACATCGGCAAAAAAAAGAAGAAAATAGAAAAAAAAAAAAAACGAGAGAAAACTTTTTAGTGCACACAAAGAGGAATTTCAGCTGCTCCTTGGCAGCGCATGCATGCAGGCGACCACGGAGCACAGTGTGTGGGAGTCCCTTGGTGGGAGCCTTGTGCCCCACCCCCACTCCATTGTCGCACTTAAGCCAGTTGCCTGGGCCACTTTGGCAAGCGTGTACGGCCGCGTGCGACACTTTGGCACTTTTTCAAGCCTCAAGCACTGGCACACCAGTCAATGGTGTCCTTCTCATCCTGTTGCTCTCAGATGCTCGCAAGTACTCGCCCAGCTGCTTGCCTTACCTCATCCTTTCGCCTGCCCCTGCCTGCTCGTAAGTAGCGCCGCTCAAGAGTAGAGTCGCTTAACCCAAAAAGTAAGCTCTCAAGTGCAACCGTATGACATTGCAATGAAAATAAACTTGCTGGCTTGCAGGACGAGCCAATGACCAACCGAAGAATGTGGGTGCATTGCGAACGGGGCAGTTATGAATCAAAAATATTTATGCATCGCGCTAAGTTAAAGTGCCGTCCTTTCCTACCCGTCCCTCACAGCTTCGCCACTGTTTTTGCATTTTTTGTGTACTGTATTTTTTTTCACGTTTATTATCATTATTCAAAACCAGGAGCGTCTTTGCCGCCACCAATCTGCTCATAGACAATATGGGAAAATAAAAAATCGAGCGTTTCTTGTCGTCTTCTGCTAAGATGATTGGTTTTTTATTTTTCGTAAACATTGCAAAAGTTGGCTTAAAAGCTTTTGTCATTTACGCTTATAGACAAAACTGTGGCTACTCTCAGTGGACTGCCTTCAATATGTCCAACAAATGCTGCTCCCTCTTTATTTGGATTGGTTTGTTTTAAGGGAAAAATAAACTGTCAATAATTTTGAGTGCGGCTTACTTTTTAAAGTCCGGGGGGAAATTCCACTGGCCCTTGACATCTACAACTTTATATTTTGGCATATGCTATGCGTATACTCCTAATTAAAAGACTTTTGTGGTCAACTATGGCGCTCACATATACTCATGAGCGCGCGCATGAACCATTGACGCAGACAATGCGATCGATAAATGCACTTATCAGCATTTATGGCTCTTGGCTTATCAACTTTGCTTACTCGTAATTATTTATTGTGTACATTAGCGTACTTACACTGATAATAAAGTTGAGCAAACTAAAGGCTTTAATGTATCGATCCAAAACAGATGCAGAGCTCTACAGTAAAATCAAAAGCAATAAACACTTCCACACTTCCATGCCCTGGCTTTGATCCTCTTTATCATGTTATACCGGGATAAGTAATTCCATATTGTTTGAATACAGCACGGATTATTTTTTGTGGAAAAGTTAATTTGTTTTAGACTTAAGCTGGTCAGTACACAAATAAAATATATATGTAATTGATATAATTGAGAAACTGGAATCGGTGATTGGAAGAACACTTGCATTTTATTGAAAAATTTGTATATCGAAAAAATGATTGTAAATTAATAAGAAATCGTTTCTAGGCTACATCTGCTGTACGTGTCTTGCTTCCTAATCAATGCCACAAAACGCCTCACAGCAACGGCCACAACAGCCGGTCACAATTGACTCATTAACAGACAAAACCGCGAGAAGGCTTAGCCCTCTCCCATATGCATGCACACCCACACCGACACCCACACCCCCACACATACACATATACGTGCACACACTTACATGAACGCACCCCCACAAGACTAGATACCCAAGCATATAATTTGTTATGTTTAATGCTGTTGGTGGTGCTAGCAGTTGGCCAGTAGGAGTTGCTTGTCTGTTTGTCTGCTTGTCTGTCAGATAATTAGAATGGCTTAGACAAATGTGGCAAGGAAGGAGGAGCATGGGAGCACTTGATTGCTCGGTCTGCTCATTATTATAAAGCCATAAATAGCGCAAACTGTCGCAATGTTTGACCGCCGCTGCAATTAACATATTGCCGCTGCAATTAACATATTGTACATACTGGTATTGTGGGCTCCTCGTATGTATTCGTACGTATGCAGTAGTAGTTGTTTGTATGTTTCTCCATTTCAAGGCGAGTTGTAGCAGGTCTAGAGAGTCCTATGTTGTCCTGGCAAAGTTATGCGCAATTATGAGCACACATAAACGCCTTGCAATTGCCACTTGACAGGCAGTTAACAAAGTTTAAACACTTGAACGTCCACATAACAAACACACCTTCACACACACATACACCTATTCAGATCCATAAGCACGCATTATGCACTGCCGCATGTCGCATGCCACACTGCCTGCACATGCAGGACCAAGCCATGTCGTATTTTTCCTTTTCTACAATTACATTACAATTTTTACACAATCAGCGTCATCGTCGCCATAATAATCAGCCAAAGTGAAGTATCAAATTACAGTTGTCAGAGACGACGCGGCTGATGACGATGACGATGGCGATGGTGATGTCGATGGCGTAGCACTTGATTCTCGGCATCCCACTGTGTCACGCACAAGCTAGGCAGAGGCAGAATCACCGACGCGTCGGGTGAGCAATCGAAGCAGCCGCATCATCGCTAGCTACACATTACACATACGCCATGGCGTCTAGTCGCTGCCATGGGCTCCTCCTCGCCCTGGAAATTCTAATCAATTTTTATTATTTTTATAAACTTGGCAGTAGAGCACGAACACTCCACTCACTCACACACAAAAAACACACGCCCGTCTTTGTTTCGAAAGTGTACATTTATCTAGCAGCAAAGTAAGGAAAATCATACAAACATATAGAATACGACTACATACACACATCGCTTGGGGTAGATTTGTGGCATGTCTTTGTATAGGCAATAGTAAGAGCAATAGCTGTCCTAACTACCTGCCGCCCGACCTCCCGACCGCCCAACCGACCTCCCGACCGCCCAACCGACCGACCGACCGACCGACCGTTCTTGCCATCCGCTGGCAAACGCACAAAAACGCGTTGTAACGCATCGGTCGACAAAAGGGGATGGCAAGGCACAGAGGAGCTGGCGAGGAAGCGAGCGAGCAAGCGAGCCGAATGTGTTTACGTTATGATTTTCGAAATCAAAATTCAGCACGAATAGGAATAAATTTACTTCCGAATGTCATTAAATTGTTTTCCGATAGAACGTGTATATTTCATACAAGAAGTTTTCGGGCCTCAGTTGCTTCAGCTTCCTGAAGAAGGTAAAGGCAGCTGTGGAGAAGGACGTTCAGGTTGCCTCTTCTACCGCCACTCATCGCCTGCGATGCTTCCCTTCGCTTCGTCTCCCTCCCATTACTTTTGATTTCCTATTATTATTACGATACTTGATATTATTGATTTTGATTGAGATTTATGTTGGTCGTTGCTTCCGCTGCCACTGCCACTGCCGCTGCCGCTGTTGCTTTTCCTTTTGACTGCTCGTTGGCGTGCTGTGAAAATATTTAGCATATTTTCTTTGCCTTTGCCTTGCTGTCGTTTCTTTCTCCTCTTTCTACTTTAAAAGTTGCCCGACTGCATAAATTTTGTGTGCTTTTGAAGCATTGAGGAAATATGCAAGTTTGATGATTAATGCGCGAAGTTTTTGTATGCGGCGTTTAACTAATAAAAGTTTCGCGTTTTGGACACGTTCCGCTGACGTTTTGCTGGCATTTTGGCAGCATCTTCTCCCTTCCAATTGAGTTATGTCTCATACATTTGCATTTCTCTTTTCGTTTCCTTGCAGAACGCCATAGTCCCAAGCGACTATCGCATACAGTCGCCCGCCGGGGGCTCCCCGTTGCCACTCTGCGCCGTCGCCAATGTGACCAGCAACAATGCCAACTCCGTCGAGAACAACACCACCACTGTTGCCGTCTTGTCGAACAACACAAACGCCGTGAATGCTGGCAATAACACCAACGCCGGGGGACCCAACACCGTGCTGCGCGTCATTGTCGAATCACTGATGTATCCCGTATCGCTGGACATTCTGCACCAGATATTCCAGCGCTTCGGCAAGGTCTTGAAGATCGTCACCTTCACCAAGAACAATTCATTCCAGGTAAGCAAGCAACAAAAAAGGCCCAAATATGTATACTAAGTAGGTTAAGGGAGGCGTGGCAAACCCACATCAGATATATTTACATGGAGAATATGGGACCCTAATAGACGCGCGAAATCCATGTCACAATCCAATTGCTAAATGTTGGATCGAAATTCCAAAGAATCTTCTACAAAGATACCAAATGTGAAGACTTCACACTTTTCATATACCATGTACTACAACTAGTAGTTTAAGTAAACAATAAAAGCGCATTGCATGGGAGTGGGAGGGGTGCATCAAAAGGAACTCATATACTTGTCCTGTAGCGGACTCTAGCTCTTATACCTTCCGAAGATCCCTGCATTTATACAGACAGACAGACATACTTAATTGAAATGCATTTTTTCGTAGACTTGCTGGGAAAGCTTAGCCCTCTTACTTACTTTTACTGTCCTCCAATATACACTGCCCGACTTGTACTATTTGCAGGCATTAATTCAATATCCCGACGCCCACTCGGCCCAGCACGCCAAGTCCATACTTGATGGCCAGAACATTTACAACGGCTGCTGCACCTTGCGCATCGACAACAGCAAGCTGACCGCTCTAAATGTTAAATACAACAATGACAAGTCGCGTGACTTCACGAATCCTGCGCTTCCGCCAGGCGAGCCAGGAGTCGACCTAATGCCCACCGCTGGCGGTCTGATGAATACCAACGATCTGCTCCTGATTGCCGCTCGTCAACGCCCCTCACTAACAGGTGATAAAATAGGTAACACGAACGGAACAATTTCCCATTTTTCATTTTTGTTTTTGTTTGCACAAACAATTAACTATCTGACCGACTATCGTCACACTCATACTACTACTCACCCACTCACACACTCACACGCTCACACACACACTTGCTCTACATGCTTCCATGAATTTGGCGATTCGATTTTAATTTGACTCTGTTGGCTTTACACTTGCTATCGATTCGTCTAGAGCTTAAGGCGCACGCTACTAATCGAACACCAACACGCAATTCTTTCCTGCATCTTACTCATTTCGCTCTCTTTTTCCCTTTCTTTGTGCTCTCTCTCTCTCTCTCTTCTGTGGCTCTTCCTCTGCAGTGAATGGCCTAGGTGCACCTGGCGTACTACCGCCCTTCGCCTTGGGCCTCGGCACGCCCCTCACCGGCGGCTACAGCAGTGCGCTGCCCAACCTGGCGGCCTTCTCGCTGGCCAACAGCGGCGCCCTGCAATCGGCCGCACCCACCATGCGCGGCTACTCAAATGTGTTGCTCGTTTCGAATTTAAATGAGGAGGTAAGTGTAGTAAGAAGGTTCTCTTATTCGTACTATGTATAATATACTCGTGCTTACATACTATATAAATAAACTATGCCCGTACTTTGTAGCAGTCCCGCCCAGCGCCGTAATATCGTAAATCTCTTTCAACTCCCTCACGTATACTCGTATAACTCTGTACTCGAATTCGAATTTGTACTGTAACTACAGAGTAGTTTGCTCGTTTCGCCTACAATTTTCAATTCATTAGTGGCGCGAGGTGGTTTTCCCAATCAACGCGCCATTCCTTATTTACATATATATTGTATATTTGATTTGTTTATGTTTTTTCCGACTCCTATTTCATTTGCATATAGTACATACTCGTACAAATTAAAAATTATTTATACTTTTTCACATTTCCATTTTCGTCAGTAAACAACAAGTGAAATTCATTTATTTCCTCTCACAGTTTTTATTTAAAACTGACTTTCCCCAGTTCGTTCGGCAAACACTTTGCCCGTCCCCCCTCCCCCCTGCATTCAGTATTTAACATTCAACAAATTGCATCTTGCATTCAATTATGGAATGCCTTTCAACACGAAACGCAATCAGAACTAAATACTTCATCAAGCCTCTGGCATAGCTCAGAGCAGTGCATCGCAAGTCTAATAAGTTTTTAATCGCCCCTTTTTTCAAGCGCAGATGAATTTGCGCCTTTCTTTCTTTTTGAAAATACACTGCACTGCACTGCACTACACAGATTCTGCCTAAGCGCGTTTGTCAAGTATGCAACTACTGGTCTGTACCCAGACTTACTATATAATCCTCTTAATGCCAAAGTATGGTTGTTTTTTTTTTTTTTTTGTTTTTTTTTTTGTTTTTGTATTTATTTTTGACACGCACCCTAAAACGAAACTCTCGCTAACTGACAACAACTTCTATTTTCTCTTTTTCTCTGTAGATGGTCACGCCTGATGCTCTCTTTACCCTCTTTGGTATGTCTGCACAAAACAGAATACTAGTTATTAAATACCGATATCGAATTTTATGTTCCTATTCAAAGTGCAGCGACAGGGCCAAGCCAGCAAGTCAAATGTGGAGCTTGCAGCTTTTCCATCCAAAACAGTCAAAGGCCTATTCCTCTAAATTTCCTCATCCTCCTCTGACTACTGCTTGGCTCTGGCCTCTGCACTTTCTCAATATCTGTCATTTATTTATACTTTTCAACTATTTTTTAAGTAGTACATACCTGATTCTTAATTATGTATAGACTCGGATCGACGCAAACAAGAAGCTAAAATTCCAACATTCATTGTAGCTGTCCCACTCCACCACCTTTTATTGAAATATTTATATAAATATAAATCATACAAATCACCGATTTGTGAAGGCAACACTTCGAGGATTATAAAGAACTGTCCTTATCTACATACTTAGAACTGTGACCTTGGGTGATCCTGTCCTTATGGATTACAAGAGCACAGCCGCTAATGTGCTGGTGATCCCTATCTTTACGGAAACTATACAACGAGAACTTACAATTTTTTGTCTAGGCATGAAACGGTAAAGTTCTTAGAATCCATTTGTTTTTGTTGATAATCACAAAAATCAACAAGGGGCTTATTGGTTAAGGGTTGGCAGGACAATGTAAGCGTATTAGGTCTATTATCCCAGATTTATTTAATCGAATATATAGTTTCGTAGTCTCTATGTAATGCCAAAGTGGAACTAAAGTGCATATACTCCGCTTTGTTCGAATTGTTGTGAAACCAATGAATCAGAATCCAGCATCTTCATTATCCTTGCTTCAGGTAACCATGCATTCCTATGTCAGCTCTCTATATTACAGGCTTAGTAGTGATCAAACTACCATTACGGCAAGGAAGCCAACCATCGGTTTATGATTCGGACAATGCACACTTCAATTGTGTTGTTGTTGTCCGCTCCTGGCACCCATAAACCTTGCCGTGGACTTTATAGAGTGGAGGTGCGATGTGCAAACAGGATATTCGTGCGCTTTTACAGCGAGCTCAAGCCATAATACCACTTTATGTGTGGCGCATAAAAATATTGTTTTACAATATCGTGGGCGAGCTCGATGCTGCAAGTCTTCTGAGCATTAAGAGACATGAGGCAGCAACAGCAGTGTCCAGCGAAGGTGGATGCTGGATGCAGGCATTAAAAAAGCAAAAGCACATACTCCATTTATATTTATTGTATCGCCAATTCCCAACTACAAATGACTTTCTAATAGCTCTTGCCTGGCGCTTGCTTGGCCACGCAAATCCATCAGCAATTCGAAATTGAAATAGTTTTGGCCAAACGCACACGTAATATTCGTAGGCACATCCACATCCACATCCAAATCCACACGTACACGCACACATACGCGCACAGAAAGGCACTGCCGTTATCCTCTCATAAGTTGTGCTTACAAATTGTAAAACAATGAAAATGAAAATATATTTAAAAACCCATTTTGTGTGTCTGTTGCTGTTGCCGTTGTTCTCGGCTTCCAGGCAACAAGTGAAACCGCACACCAGCGGCCGCACACTTGCACTCACATCTTTGTATCGTGTTGCACGCACACACACACACACACACACACACACATACACATACAGAAACACACAATGTGTGACATGTGCTCATGTGTATGTAAAATTACATGAATTAAGTGTGCTCGTGGCTCTCGGGCTCGACTCCATTGTTGGCGCCTTGTGCGACGCGTCTACTAACTTGCATATACAAAACACATGCTTCAACATGCGCTTATCCTACCCCACACCCATATCCACAAACACACACCCACACCCACACAGACGCACACAACAAAAGATTGAGTGCGGAAGTGCATAGCTATAAAAATGTCCATTTATTTAGTTATCATTGCGCTTGTTGCGCTTGCCATGGCCATTGCTGTAGTCCTCGTCCTCGTCCGTCGCTTGCCTTCGCACAGTGGCTCGAAACTAATAATAAACTTTTTTATTGCCATCAGTAAATTAAATATGCTCGTAAGTACGAAGATTTTTCAAATTTAAATCATTTTCCCTATTTTAAATTTAAGTTCAGTTCAGTAAACAACAAGTCATTAGTGACAAGCAATCTCGAATACTTATTTGTATATTTCGAACTTCATTAAGATCCTTGAACAATTCCTTAAGCAATAGTCTACAAATTTGTCACACTTCTGCAATTCTCTAATGGATGAAGAAGAAATTAAAATTAACTTTGAAATAAATTTAATGCATACATAGGTCGAATTCAATTTTAATTCTCTCTCACATAAAGTAACTCATCTGAAATGGAGAAAATACTATATGTATCTGAAAAAGAAGCCGATTATTTTGAAAAATGAGCTCGCTATTTCGTGTGTGTTGGCTGATAAAGGACGCTTCTAAACCACTGTCGTGTTATGCCGTCCTCATTGTTGTTATTGTTGTGGTTGTACATATGTATTTGTCCTTTTGTGCACACTCTTACAGACCACACACACACACACACACACACACACATGTTGTAAACTTTTTGCTGCTTTACAATTGAAATAAAATTTACTTGTGACTTTTCGTTGCTGGTGGAACGCCCTGCCCTGCCCCGCCCTGCCCCCAGCCATTACGCAACTTGGCAGGCGAGTTTTTGTCATTGCGTGTGTGTCTGTCTGTCTCTTTGTCTCTCTGTGTGTGTCTGTCTGTCTGTCTGTTTGCCAAATGAATTTAACTAACTTTGTAAAGTTAATGGGGTTTGCTGTTTGAATTGTCGTTCTCGTGCTGGTTGTTGCATTGTGTTTGAGTCTGGTTGTGTGTGTGGCGTTTTATTATTTTATGGCATTTCAACTTGACTTTTAGCTTGCGCTGCATAAGTCTTTTGCCTGCCGTGTGTCAACTCTGCATGTCTGCCCCACTCCCCCCAGCCCTCTGGTCCGACTCTGGGTGGGTTGTTTGCTTTATTTAATTACCAAAATACTTCGATTGTGTCGGGCCAACTGCCTGCGGTGGTTTCTGCTGCCTCTGCTGCCAAGTGTGGCGCATAATTGCAACATAATGGATTTGCTGCCACAAACAATTGGCAACAATGCTGCTTTTGCATTCGATGTTTTTTGCCAACCAAATAGATGCAACCACAGAGACATATGTAAAGCAAGGAGTAGCAGCAACAAAGTTAAGTCCGATCTCCATTCCCCCACCACACTCCACCTATACTCGCACTTGCACTCACACGTACGTGCCTTTCGAAGCAACAAATGCAGTCGACGGTTTGTTGTTTGTCGCTCGGTTGCCTGTTTGCCTTGCTGTTCTTGCTGTCCTTGCTGCTTTTGCTGCTGCTTCTGCTGCTGCTATTTGTGTGCACACAAATGCATTTAATTTCAGTTTAAATACCCAAATATAAAGTTTTGGCAAACAAGCGCAACCGCAACCATACAAACATAGCAAATTTGAAACCTCAAATAGAGAGGAGAGTAGTGGCGTGGCACTGGTAAGCCACCTCTTGCCACTCGGCTAGATTCGGTTTCAATTTGTATTTACAATTTTCCATACTTCAGTACCCTACTCTGTCAGTATTATTTGTGCAAGTACTCGTACTATATATTCAATGCTAAACATAAACTCGCCCGGAGCAATAATTGCTTAAAAATGGTTTGTTTATAAAGCAGTCGCTGCCACCCAGCCAGCTCCAGAGCCGTATTCCCGTGCAGAGTCAAAGCCAAAGTCAAGCACTGGTCAGCTTAAATGAACTGAGCCAGCGCAAATCCTATCAGCAGCTCGTTAGCCGGTGCTAAAGCCAATGGCTTTATAAATACATTCAGATAGAACGGCAGTCAAGTGGCAGCTGCCTGCAGTGCTAATAAAGCTTAGATCGCTGATTTAATGCGCCACAAAGAGTGCAGCGCAGCATATTGTACATCACACACTCACCCAGGCGCACACAAACACCCACACACCCGCACACACACACACTCGCACACTCGCACACCCGCACACACACACACACATAAGAGGCAGCAACACGGAATTCGCTCTACAGTTAAGCACGCCACTCGATGGCTTCTAGGAGTCACAGTGGCTGCAGTTTCTACAATTTGTGTTAAGCAAATAAAACTCTTCCAATTAGCACACTAACCTGTAATCAGAACCGTTTCCCAATTTAAAATAGCAACAGGTGAATTAATCAGACAGTTATAGTTCTATGGTATGTAAATCGAATAATTCAAATGCATTCCTTTTTTATAAGTATTAGGTTTCGTATAAATAAACTAAATGCCAGTAACAAATGATAAATCATTTTTAATTCTAATCACTTAGAAATAAATCCAAATCTCGTTTTAAAGCAATATTTTATCCGATAACCGTTTATAGATGAAATGCGAGGTTTAATTTGCTTTGTTGAACGTTGCAGTCGAGCAACTGCTGAATGTACCGTTTTTATTTATCAATTTATTTTAATGTCGACAAACAGTTTAAAAACCCTAAATAGAAAAAGTTTAATCAAGTATTATATATAAATATAATAATCACTATTTTGTTTAATAAAAGCCCCCGACTCGAGGCGCGATTTTATTTGCCAATCGGCCAAGTATGCCCCGATCCACATCCAATTGTAGTCAGAGGCGCTCATATACCTGTGAGCAAACATTTAAAAAATAAACGATTTATAATAAAACTTATAAAAGAAAGGAAACTCCGATTTATCAATAACTAATTTATTAAATAAAAGTTATAGTAAAATGAACAGAGAAAGATTAATTATCCAGTAACACAAGCTATGTCTCGTCTTACTGCCTTGGATAGTCACAGATTCCGGAGATGGCTGAAAAGAGAGGCTTATAGGAAGAGAGATTTCATTAATAAAATTAGAAAATAAATGTGGAGAAACACATAAAAATTACGAATGCACAGTTTCCTTCAAGTTTGGGGGTAGATAAAAAATAAACTGGTGTTACTTAGGAACTAGTCTACATACCATGCTGGATCAAGCAAGCTGTTTCCGAAATCCA